GTTCTTCAGGATATTTGCCACGGAGGATAATCATCTGAGCATATCCAGTGCTTTAAACTGTCTCAAATTGCATGAAATCTCAGTTTTAGGCACTTTGACAGGCTTCCTTTAAAATCTATGACAGTAGATTTGAATGCATCAACTATGTCACTCGGATTTTGTCAGACAGATCCCACAGCAGCAGCCATGGGAGACACTGTCCTCAGCCCAGAGCAGCTGGATTTCAGAAATGTTGCTTTCCTCAGTGATAGCAGGGGCAGAGGGCATTGTCAGGCAGGGTCAGCTCAGAGACCGCTTTCATTTAAGCCTTCTGTGAAGCAGTGACTGTCAATGACAACACATTTACCATCTGTGCAAACACAGATTTTCACCTGCAATACCCTTCAAAGGCAGTGTCTCAGGAACCTGACTTGAGAAATACGTTTGCTTGACTGCCCATTCTAATTTCCACAGCAGTCTATTCTCTGGAGTCCCAGCTGTACAGCAACTCGGTTTTAACTGGGTTTTATTTTATATGTTGTAATTAGGGGAGGAAAACCCAGTGTGATAGGGGTATAATATATAGACTGAGAAAAAAATATCTTTATTTGGTGAAGACGTGTGTTATTTCAGGATATTTTCATCTAGTCTGATAAAAATGGCATTTCTATAGAAACAACTGATGAAACAAACAACAAAGAGGAAATGCTAACTGTCACAAGCCAACATAATGCTCAGCAGATGCATTACTAGAGATCAGTAAATACTCTGCTGTTTTGGGCTTTTAAAATACGCAATCCTTCCCTCTCCTTTACACAGTTAAATCAAATCACATTGAGCATGGGTGTGTGCTTTTTATTGGTGAACAAGTAGAGGTTTGATTTAAAATATCTCTGCTTCACCTAGTCCCAGGGATGCCCAGCAGCTATTACTCAGTGAGGTCTTGCTGCCTCAGAGTGCCAGGGTTTGACCCCAAAAGTACATCAGAAAAATTCACTCAAGGATTTGTGGGTGGATCTCTGAGGATATTTGGACACATACATCATCTCTGCTCGACTGTCCTGTTTTCCCACTAGCAAGAAAGCTGCCACTGATTGATCACAATGCAATTTTGCTCTCACGTATGCACATTTCTTTAAGAATTCTTTACTACCACAGACAGTCATGATGTGCTGTGCATGACACCGCTGTGTGTAAGTCCCCTCTCTGCTCGCTCTGGGCTCTCACTCTTCCAGGTGGATTCCTGCAGACAGCGTTATTGTGCAGTGCATCCACTGCTTTGAGGTATGATATATTGCCGTTCCTTCTGAGATCAACATGTAGTTCTCTGCAGAGTTAAACCTTTAGCACAGGTGACAACTTACTGCTGAACATTGTGTCCTACCAGACTCAACTCTTTTTTACATGGATTACAAAATTAATAATTAGACTGGACAGCCCACAGATCATTGTATATGAACTGTAACAACCATGTTACAACATGGGCTAAACCCACACCAAAACTGACCTAAGAGGATTTGAAGATGACCACATGGCAACCACTTGACAACAAAACAGTGAACCAATGAAGAGAAAGAAGACCCCAAACTATAATGTTGCTATTGGTCCAGACTGTTATGTGAGGGATGAGGAGTTTAGATTGTAAGGGTATAATTGCCATGGGGTCTCTCTTTTGAGATACCTAGATTGAGCTACCAGATACAGGGATTGATCTGTACCAATAAATCTATCTGATGGAGAAGAGCTTAGTGCCAAAAATTTCTTTAACAAAAAGGAACACAAGTAAGGCTTGTATCTTGGACCAATATGATCATTTGTTTTCCTTTCCCCAACAGACCTGCATGCTGCCCATCACCCTGCTCTCCAGCTGTTCCATTCTCAACTTCAGTTTCTGTCTTCTGGCAACAAAGCAGCAGGATTATCTTCTTCTGTGGTCACCTGCTTTTTAGACAACTTGTCCTAATATTTATCATCTCTGCAACATAGATAATACTGTTACATTTAGAGATTTACGCTTTTTAATCACACCAAGGCCACTGCCATATTGTCTTTGTTGTTTTGACCTCTTCCCTGTTATAATCCACTGAGAAAGCATTTGGCTCTAGGCTCTCATGCTTCTCATGCTGTGGAAGACCAAAACCATGTTCCAGAAAGTCACGTGAAACTTTTTGCCTGTGGCGAGCTAGGGAAAAAGAGGATGAAGGAGATTTTTAGGGCTTGTGAGGAGACTGACAATCTTTTAAAATCTCATAAAAAAGCTCTTGCTGAGTGAGGAATGTTTGAGTTCACCTCCAAAGGCTCTTAGCAATGCTCTGGTGGGAATTTCTTTGCCAGAATTGCTTAGCAGATCCATGCAAGTGTGTTGGTACTTATAATTTATAGGATAAATATGAAGACACACGAGCATGATTTATTGATAGAGCATAAGCTATATATAGTGCCTTTAACTGTATTATTAAAACTGAAGGTAAATAATTAATGGAATGAAGAAAAGATACATAAAACTCTGGGGAGTTTTGATGGGAAGCATTCCTGTCTTGTGGTAATTAAAACTGAATATATTCTGAGTATATATTATGTCTTTCTGGCAAAAAAGATTATTTCCTCACTTCACCTGCATGCTAAGAGACGCTGTGTGTGGCCGCAGAAGCTGTGCAGCCTGCGTGAGAAAAACCAGGGAGGAAAAATGCGTATGGTTGTTGGGCTTGAACGCCACCCTACACTCAGGATAGGATTACTGTCAGTGGGTGCTGACCAGTTCTGTCTGGTTAACCCTCAGAGTAGTTTTAGGTGAGATATAGCTTGAGTAACACGTGCTAGTTTTGCAGAGTTCAGTGCTGTCCATTTCCATGAGAAGTGTGACAGAAAGGTACAGGCTGGCTTCAGCAACCACTGCCAAGGCCTCCCTGCCTCACTGTCCAGGCAGGAGAACTCAGCTGTGTTCATGGGTTCCACAGGGAATAATTTCTAAGTTCAGCCCCAGCAAAGCCTCGAAGTGTGAGAGACAGGCCTTCTATCCACACCACTGCATCTGCCAAACCCTTTTGTAGAATCGGTGGTGATCTTTCTTCCAGGCTGAAGATGAACAGTGCAAAAACTAAAACCTTGATTTCACATTTTTGTTCAACCAGAGGCACAATCCATCGATTTCAATAGATTTTGGAGCAGCCTTATGTGACCTTCAATGTCCCAGAAGCACAAAAAGTAACAAGGTGCCAAAGGACAAATTAAACTTTCCCCTTTGGTCAGCCAGACCTTTGGTAGCAATGTGTTCCACAGACAAAGGAATAGAAACTTGTGCTCGTGAGGTTTAACTGCAAGAAACTTGAGCAATTATTTCAAAGTGCTTCTTGCATCCCAAACCAATATAGATTGGGAATGACAATATTAAGTGGCAGATGGTGCTGGTAGGGTAACAGCTGTTTTCAGAGAAATGGAGAATTTGACACCACATTTCTCAGCAGTCACTGTTATTCCTGAACTAATTTTGACTTTAATATAACTCCTGTTCCTTTAGGGAGTGCAAAGCAGAGCTCCACCGGCTGATGAACTGCAGTCTGGCAGGGCAGCATCAAAGAAGCACTCAGATAGTCAAAATATGTCTGATCATAAGGTTAGAATCATGGTCACTCTTGGCTCACGGAGATGTTTCTGCCCAGCATTTAAAAAAATTGGAGTTTTCACATCAATTTTTTATAAGGTCGTCACAGTCCCATTTCCCTGACACTGTGGTTAAGCCTGGTTGTTGGCAGACATGAAGGTCTATCTTAATTTCTATAGATTTAAGTGCTTTCAGTGTTCATAAGGGAAAAGCTTGTTTCTGGCTGTAATTTTGCCACAGTATTTTAGTTTTCTGAAGGGATAAAAAAGAGCAGTGGAAAAGCACTTCATTTCCTAAAGCATCAGGGCACTTGTGGTGAGTCTCCCCAACTGTGGGCCTACCTGGTCCAGTCCAAGTCCCTGTAAGAATCTGTGCCTTGTTCTCGTGTTCAGAGAATTCATCTCACCAGTGTCTCAGCTCTATTCATCTCACCAATGTCTGTCAGTGTCTGCAGGGAGGGTGTCAGATGACAGAGCCAGGCTCTGCTCAGTGGTGCCGAGCAATAGGACAATTGGCAATGGGCAGAAACTGAACCACAGGGAGTTTGACCTGACCACGAGGAAGGATTTCTTTACTGTGCAGGTGACTGAGCACTGGAACAGGTTGCCCAGAGAGGGTGCCGAGTCTCCCTCACTGGGGATATTCAGGAACCATCTGGACACAATCCTGTGCACTGTGCTCTGGGATGACCCTGGTTGAGCAGGGAGGTTGGAGCAGATGACTCACTGGGGTCCCTTCCAACCTGACCCATCCTGGGATTCCGTGGTTCTGTCAAAAGGCTGAAAGGCAACTGAGCACTACAATCAGTGACCAACCAACGTTAAAATCAAAGCTGCTGCAAGTTCCAACAGCTTTCCAGTAGTTTGTAAGAAAGCTTGGCACGTATAACAAATGAGCGATCAGACACGAATAATAAATTACATCCGTGTTCCTAGAGCTTTGTGTCTGCTCTCCTGAAACACCTGCAGTGTCGGGCACGTCAACGCCCTCTCCTACTGACAAGGCACAGCTCCTGCGTTTACATGAACGTGTTTCTGTTCGGATGCAGGTGGCCTGTATGGAGACCTAAGGAAAAGGCGCGGGAGAAGCAGCCCTTGGGCTGCACAAGCCCAGGGCGAACTCGCAGGGGCAGTTCAGCGGCGGGACTCCCCTCTGAAAGCCTCCAGTAGCCTCCACCAAACAGCAGACTTAGCTGCAGTGTCAGGGAAACAGGGCCCTGATTAACTCATAAAAAATAAAATGAAAATCCAATTCGTTCAATTCCATTCCCAGCCGGGGACAGCGCTCGGGACGAGGGCGGGCGGAAGTGGCGTAGCCGGGCGGAAGAAGCTGCCGCGGAGCAGGGCGGAAGTGCTGGCGAGGGCGGCGCGGTTCCGGCGCAGGTGAGCGGCGGTTGAGCTGCGGGAGCGGCGTCAGGGGTTGGCAGGATCTACTTCAGAGGCTTAAATGCTGCTTCTGGAAAGCACTGGAAGAGTATTGCGGACCTGCATTTCTATGTCAAGTAAACGCCGTTCTCTCTGACCCACTGGTGCTGCCTTAGTTGGTGATTGGGGTCGCTCCCTGTCCTAACTGACCTTCCTTCTCAGGCTCATGCTGGAGCTGAAGTTGGTTATTTCAGAGGTGCATCCTGACCCTTGAAGCAGTCTGTACCTTTACTGCCTTCTGTGCTCTCTTGTTTTCTTCCAGTCAGGCTTAGACCTCTGGTCCCAAGTGCGCTCGTGAAACTTCCTGCAGCACTGGTGGGCTTTTCAGACAGTATCCGTGGGAAGTCCAGGGCGTGACAGACAGCTATTTTTTGAGACTTTTGGTACAGACAGGGTGTGCAACAGCGAATGATAGTGTGTGCACATAACAGTCACTATGTTGTGGAGTGTAAAGGTCTGTGTGGTCCTTTGACAGCGTTTCTTATCCCTTGCATGTTTTCCTAGGAAAAAAATCCTCTCTGGGTTGCACATGCTGGCTGGCTGGTGGTCCCTCTTGGCAAACAGATTGTGTATGGTGAGTTTTTAAGTAGCGAGTTGCTAGATGGGAGGTAACCAGAGTGCAGGATGCTGGGGTCAGTGCTGATCGTCAGGAGTTTGTTGTTTCTGCTACATGTTTTCTGTGAGCTCTGGTGGGTGAGAATTACTCCTTCCGACGGCCAGGGCAGTGTTGCTAATGTGCTTAGATGGCTTCCAGGGGCCATGGAAAAAGGTACCATTAGAACACAAAGTATTTTTGCTCCATTCTGTCTGTGTGCAAGTCCCATGTGTATTTAGGCCATGACTTTGAGGAAAGGTTTTCTGGAATAACATCCGACCTTGTTGGATATTGGCTGCTTAGTTGGCTTGTTGTGCCTGCCAGTTTCCCAGCAAAAGGAAGGCAGTTCTCAAGGCCTCCTGTATTTTTTTCATTAACTTTTTCTAATAGACAGAGACTTGGAGAAGTTTCTGTACTGTGCTGTGTGGAGGAGGCTTGCTGCAGAAAGATTAGCAGCACACTTTGCTTCTAGCTGGGTGGTTTTGTGTCTGTTAATCCTGGCATCCTCCTCTTTTGGGCTTTGAAGCCTGTGATGACAGGGCATGGAACACTTGGTGTCGAGTGTGTGTGGTGCTGCTTGTGCAGGGTCCAAGCAACTGAAATGTGGCTGTGGGAGCCCCGTTGTGGCAGAAAGCTCCATAAATAACCAGCAAGTAGGTGTGTGCTTCTGCTCGGAGTATCCACAGAAAAAAGGAGCTGTCTGCAGAAGTTGCAATTTTTGCAGTGCAGCAAGGGAGGTGGGCTGAAAGGGAGTGTTTCTGCATTCTCAGCATCAGTGAGAGCTGCAGTGAGATCCCAGGTGTTCTTGTGTGAAGTCCTTCTCTGACAGTAGTAAGGCACTGTAGAAGGGTGCTCCCTGCCCTTCCTGCCCTGCAGCAGCTTTTGCAGGTGGCTGTGTTGCATAAATGTCCTTGACCACCCTGTTAGAGAAATTGGGCGTTTTCGCTGTGTGATGGGGAAGGGTTTTATTGTTGAGAGGATTCAGGGAAGTTCCCCTTGTTGCTGCTTGTGCCATATGTGAGTTTGGTGTACATGGAAGCTGTCGTTGTGGGCCTCTTGAGCTGACAGCTTCCATAAATGTCAGCGTTTTGAGATCTCTGAAATGGAGCAAATAGCTGGTGACGTTGGCATTGGCTGGAGTGGTCTGTTTCCTCAGTCATGAAGTACTGAAGTGAATGGAGAGTCCCTGGAAACATTGCAAGCCCTGCAAATCCAGAGATTTTGTTGAGTCTGAGGTGGTTGGTGGTTTTACACTAATGCCTTGACTAAAAGCACCAACCAAATGTAAAACTTCCTGTCTGCCTTTGTTCTCTTAGAACCAGCAACATCACACCTAACCGACCTTGGTGAAGAGCGAGATCCCTGAGAGGAGTATAACAGTTCCAAGCATAGCTCATAAGTGCTGCAGGAAGTAATTCTTGTTTCTGTCAGCATTTTTCCCACAAGGTAGCTCCCCATGTGTTTTACAGTCCAGTAGGATATGAATAGCATAAGACCAGACATTGGCTTCAGGGCAGTGGCTGTGCCTGCCCAGTGATTGCACTTCGTTTTGGTCTGAGGTTAAGAGAGAGATTCACTTCCAAGCTTTGCACTTTCTCATGCGTACAGCCTGTCCATATGACAGATAACTGTGCCTTTAAAAATCCATATCCACTTTCCTTTCCATCTTCCCAATAAGTCATCACTGAGTCCTGATGGGCTTTTGGAAGTGGAAGAGATCAAATAGGTACAAATTGTTTCAACGTAGCAAGTGTGGGAGGGTGTCAGGTCTGCAGCGTTATTGCTGCTCAGTGATTCCGTTCGTGTGTAATGCATTTGCAAACACTCTACTTGCTGCCTGTGAGAAATGGATTGGTGGTCCCAGGCCAAGGGAATAAGAGGTGGGTGTAATAGTTAGAAATATTTTCCTGCCTAGTAGATGGGAGGTGGAATAGTTGTCTTCCCGGTAAGTTCTCTTGTACACAGAAGTAAAAGTCTTTATAAATCTCCCCAAAGTGTCCTGGGCAGTGAATGAAGATGGTTGGAAGTAGCATGGCTTCTACCGATAAGAGGGTGGTGAAAGAGTGAGACAGAACTAAAGCAGGAGAACCATGTCAGGAAGAAAAACATTTTTGCCTTGGGAGATTTGAGTGAGAAGGAGAGCAAACAGAGTCAGTGAGTGTGTTGTCCCTGTCCATGTGGGCATGCTCTTGCACCGTGACAGTGATGGTAATGCTAGCATCTGGAGAAAATGCTATGTATATGCTTTCTCCCTCAGAGGGATTTAAAATGTATCAATATATTAACAGTATATTCGTGGGTGGTCCCAATGCACAATAGTAGGAGAAATCTAAGCAGAGATAATTACTCACTGGAAAATTTAGGGTTCCAAATTCAAGCAGAATAGCTGCAACCCCAAATCTGCCAAGGTGAAGTTCCTGGGTATATGGTGGAGGGGGGGAATGGTGTGTATTCTCCCTGAAACCTTGGCTATCCTTTAACAAGTTAAAATGCCTGGAAAGAAGGAGCTACAGTATTCCCTGGGTCTGCTGGTATTTTGGAGAAAACATATCCCAAATTTCTCAATCATGGCAAGTGCCCTTTTTGATTTAACATACCAGAGGACCAGCTGGGACTGGACCCCTATCCGTGAAGAAGGCCTACAATTGTTAATCTTTGAGGCTGGGTTATATCAGATATCAGGCTTTAGGTCCAATACATCTGACAGATCCACTTCAGAAAATCATAGAATCATAGAGTGTTAAAGGGTTGGAATGGACCTTAAAATCATCTAATCCCAACCACCCCTGCTATGTACAGGGACACTTCCCACTAGACCAGGTTTCTCAAGGCCTTGTACAACCTGGCTTTGAACACTGCCAGGGTTGGGGCACTGGTATGTGCAATTATATCATTAGTGCCATGTGCTTCAGGTAGAGGAGGGAGCACATGAAGTGCTCCAAATACAAGAACCATCAGGCAATCAACTGGGCCAGGAGCTTCCCCCATCATGTATGAAACCAACCTCGCAATTTGAGCCCCACGTGAAAAATGCATGGTTCACTGATGCATCCTCCAAAGGAGAGGAGGATACTGAGGGGGAGCCCTGTGTGTTTTTTGTGCAAGCTGAATTGTGATGAAGGGAGAAGGAAATGCTCAGATGGGAAAATTGGTAGCCATGTGCAGTGTGTTTTTTAGAGAGGCTGAAACTAAAACCAACAGTGTTTATTTATATGGACTCCTATGCTGCTTTTAAGGGGTGCACTGGATGGCTCCTGTTTTGCGAACAAACCCGTGGGAGGTCAATCGGGTTCCCAGTGTGCCAGCAAGAGAAGTGGGACGACATCCTAAACACAGCTAAGCAGAAGTCTCTTGGTGGGATGGATTGCTACTCACCAGAAGAGGGATCACCTCCTGAATAATCAGGTAGATTAACTGACCTGTGTGGCAGGTATGGCAGTAAAGGGAGAAGAATTAAAATGGGAGCATCTGTTACAGAGGTTACCTGTAAAGGGAGGCCATTCAGGAGTTAAGGATCTTTTTAAGGGAGCTGGTAGCAAAGGGTGGCCTGTCACTCAGGAACTGTGTAACAGTCATCTCAGCCTGTGGCCAGTGTTGTACCCAACTAGAGAAACAACACCCTTTGCAGGAGGCTCCCCTTCACTTATGACACAGAAAAGGCCTCTGGGAGACCTGGCAGGTGGACTATCTAGAGCCTTTCTTGAAGTCAGAGGGAAAGCAATATGTTGTCATTGGGGTGGAAGTAATGTCAGGGCTCACTCAGGCTGAGGCAGTAGCACAAGCAACTGGGTACAGCACTGTAAAGGGACTGAAGCTGTGGATTAGTTATTTGCCATGGCCCAAATACCTCCAATCTGACAACAGTAGTCACTTTACTGTCAGGGTGGTTCAAGAGTGGGCACAGGATGAGGGAATCCAGTGGATCTTTCACACCCCATACTACTTCCAGGCAAATGGTATTATTGAATGCACCAATGGGCTCTTGAAGAGGGCCCTGAAACCTCATGAACCTGGTTGACCACAGTTGGGTGGGGAGTTAAGGAGTGCCCATGACTCAGCCTTTTGTCTTCAATCCCCACTCATACTTCCTGGGACAAAAGAAGCCAAAGACCCTACAAATCCTCCCCATTACCCAGAACAGCTGGTTTTGGTAGAATTACCAAGAGTAGGATTGGTACCTCTGACCTTAAAAAAACCACTTAACCTCTGTGTATGGGTGGTTAATGATGGTTCCCTCCTTTTAATCATGTTTTGTTTTTATGCACATATATGTTTTACAGATTATCTGAAATCCACTGCTGGAGCTACACTTTCAACTGTTGAGTGGATGGACCATTTTGCATATTTTTAGTTTGATTTTACTAAGCCTATTTTGCCTTTTTACTGGAGAAAAATGGTGTGGGAAAAGTTTTTATTCTTATTTTATGGGTGTACAATTTTGTCTCAATTGATTGAGAATGAGGATACTCAGCCAAATTTAGCTTGGGAGTTGATACAAGGATTTATGCATATTTGGAACCACACGAATCAAGGAATATGTATTAACCTCCCCAACTCTGCATCAGAGGGGCTTAGATTTATGATGATTTGGTTAAATTTTTCAGAAATATTAACAAGAGAACTAGATAACCTTAAAAAAACAGGAGGAAATGTTACCTGGGGAATGGTCGAGTCCCCCTTCCTAGACCAGAAGGAAGGACAACAATGGGCTGCAAATGGGACATGGGTAGAATACAAGAAAGCCTTTTACCACCTCCCACACAACTCTACCTGGAACCATTTATGGAATCAGACATGTTACCGATCATTAGACGCTAACCCTACTGAGACATTGCAAAATGTCACTTCTATCCCTTGCACGATTGTACCATGGTGGGATTCTCCTGCTGAGGGTGGGTTTTTCGAACATGAGTACAATTTACATTGGGATGCAGGATGGTGTATACAGATCCCCAGTAACCCAGGAACCCCACACCAAGTTAACCAAACAAATTATGAATGGGCTTGGTCTCTGAAACAAATCTTTGACCCCATATCTCCCCTACAATGGGCCTCCAGGACCCCCACAGGGGAAATAGTGGAATGGGAAGTGGGGAAATCGGACTGTAAGGACCAGCAGATCACACTACCTAATGGAGAGAGCATCTGCTGGAAAGTGAGGAACACCAGAAGCATCATCCAAAGTAAATCAGAGACTTCCTTTCTGAATTGTTCCCGTATATTAGATTGTACCACTGGTGCAGGTGAGCCGATAGAAACTTGGTATATCTCGGAGCTGAGAACTTTTATCCGGGACATGTGTACGTGTTGGGGTTATCCCAACTATGGCTATCTAAATCGAGACACCCGATGCAATGGGTCTTACGAAAATTCGGAGACAGCACTATCCTGCGGTATTCCCGTTACACATGGCCCTGACCCAAGAAGGGTCTTGAATTCAAGTACTGAAGCACAGGAAGTTCCCCGAGGCGACCTGTATCAGTGTTCACAAGCCAAATATCCAGCTCCGAGGGGAACAGTATGGGCATGTTCAGATGGGAAAATGTATTCCCACTTGAACATGTATGATATGGCTGGACTCCAGTGTACTATTGGGTTTCCTACCATGTGTCCATCTAAAACATTCAATTATACACTTTATTGTAACAAAAAGGTGCAGAGAGAAATCCGCAATCCAGTAGATGCAAAAGGTTGGATTGAGGGAATTCAAGTCCCTGACTATTATACCTGGGGCCAAAATGTTGCTTTAGACTTAGAATTATTTTTTGTGCCCAGTGGAGTTAATCAACGGCATCAATATGTCTTGGAGAACTTAACTAGGCAAATCCATGTGTTGAGCAACTGGACCGAACGTGCCTATGGGAAACTGAATTTGCAGGCCCAACAGGTACCAAAAATGGCTTTGCAGAATCGGTTAGCCCTGGACATGGTGTTGTTGAAAGAGCACGGAGTATGCGGGATGCTAAACCTAACGGATGGAGAATGCTGTGTCACTGTTCATAATGCTGCCACCACCATGGAAGAAGCACGTCAGAAGATGAAGGAGGTTGCTGAACAAACGGGAGAACTATTTCAAGCAATGCAACCGAAGGAGTAGTTTGTTGGACTGAGCCCGGATCATGGATCACATTGCTACTAAAGTGCCTTGGACTTATGAGATGGGGAAAATAGCATGTACATATTGCCCTTATGATATTTTGTGGATTTTTGGTTTTGATGAAAGGTCAGAAAGTCACATGAAACTGTTTGCTTGTGGCAAGCTATAAGAAGAGGATGAAGGAGATTGTTGGGACTTCTGAGAAGACTGACAACCTCGTAAAGTAAAAAAATGACATAAAAAAGCTCTTGTTGAGTGAGGAATGTTTGAGTTCACCTCCAAAGGCTCTTAGCGATGCTCTGGTGGGAATTTCTTTGCCAGAATTGCTTAGCAGATCATGCAAGTGTTTTGGTACTTATAATTTATAGGATAAATATGAAGACACACGAGCATGATTTATTGATAGAGCATAAGCTATATATAGTGCCTTTAACTGTATTATTAAAACTGAAGGTAAATAATTAATGGAATGAAGAAAAGATACATAAAACTCTGGGGAGTTTTGATGGGAAGCATTCCTGTCTTGTGGTAATTAAAACTGAATATATTCTGAGTATATATTATGTCTTTCTGGCAAAAAAGATTATTTCCTCACTTCACCTGCATGCTAAGAGACACTGTGTGTGGCCGCAGAAGCTGTGCAGCCTGCGTGAGAAAAACCAGGGAGGAAAAATGCGTATGGCTGTTGGGCTTGAACGCCACCCTACACTCAGGATAGGATTACTGTCAGTGGGTGCTGACCAGTTCTGTCTGGTTAACCCTCAGAGTAGTTTTAGGTGAGATATAGCTCGAGTAACACGTATTAGTTTTGCAGAGTTCAGTGCTGCCCATTTCCATGAGAAGTGTGACAGAAAGGTACAGGCTGGCTTCAGCAGAGAGCAAGGGACAAAGTTAATGTTTTTTATGATTATAATCAGAGGACTACTCAAGCAAAGCAAAATTCAGCTAGCAATTCATTATGTCTCCATAGACATCTCTCCTGGGTTTGGGAGGAAAAGATGGGTGGACCACTCCAAAGAACGATAACTCAAACAGGCCCTTTCATGACTCAGACTATCTGGTTTAGTGAATTGACTCAGAGACACGTAGGATCAAATATCCTGTACACCTCCAGGGTATCTTTTTTACTGAATTCATTTACACCATGTCCATACCAAACATTAGTAAGGTCAAAGTGACCTTACAACTACTTGTTAAATTCCCTGGAGTCAGAGTAGCTCAACCTCAAGTGGCTGTCAGTCTAAACAGACCCTTGGTTAATCCAAACATGTTGCAACACAACCAATGCCAAGGCTTCTCTGCCCTTCTGTCTAAGCATGAGAACTGAAAGGTGTTCATGGGATTCAAGAGAAATCATTCATAATTCAGCTCCAGCAAAGCCTCAGAGTGTGAGAGAGACCCTCTATTTGCACCACTGCATCTGCCAAAGCCTTTTGTAAAATCAGTGGTGCTCTCTTGTCCAGTGTGAAGATGAACAGAAATCTATAGATTTAAGTGCTTTCAGTGTTCATAAGGGATAAAACTTGTTTCTGGCTGTAATTTTGCCACAGTATTTTAGTTTTCTGAAGGGATAAAAAGAGCAGTGGAAAAGTGCTTCATTTCCTAAAGCATCAGGTCACTTGTGGTGAGTCTCCCCAACTGTGGGCCTACCTGGTCCAGTCCAAGTCCCTGTAAGAATCTGTGCCTTGTTCTCGTGTTCAGAGAATTCATCTCACCAATGTCTCAGCTCTATTCATCTCACCAATGTCTGTCAGTGTCTGCAGGGAGGGTGTCAGATGACAGAGCCAAGCTCTGCTCAGTGGTGCCGAGCAATAGGACAATTGGCAATGGGCAGAAACTGAACCACAGGGAGTTTGACCTGACCACGAGGAAGGATTTCTTTACTGTGCAGGTGACTGAGCACTGGAACAGGTTGCCCAGAGAGGGTGCCGAGTCTCCCTCACTGGGGATATTCAGGAACCATCTGGACACAATCCTGTGCACTGTGCTCTGGGATGACCCTGGTTGAGCAGGGAGGTTGGAGCAGATGACTCACTGGGGTCCCTTCCAACCTGACCCATCCTGGGATTCCGTGGTTCTGTCAAAAGGCTGAAAGGCAACTGAGCACTACAATCAGTGACCAACCAACATTAATATCAAAGCTGCTGCAAGTTCCAACAGCTTTCCAGTAGTTTGTAAGAAAGCTTGGCACGTATAACAAACGAGCGATCAGACACGAATAATAAATTACATCCGTGTTCCTAGAGCTTTGTGTCTGCTCTCCTGAAACACCTGCAGTGTCGGGCACGTCAACGCCCTCTCCTACTGACAAGGCACAGCTCCTGCGTTTACATGAACGTGTTTCTGTGTGTGCACACACTCGCTATCGGATGCAGGTGGCCTGTATGGAGACCTAAGGAAAAGGCGCGGGAGAAGCCGCCCGTGGGCTGCACAAGCCCAGGGCGAACTCGCAGGGGCAGTTCAGCGGCGGGACTCCCCTCTGGAAGCCTCCGGTAGTCCGCACCAAACGGCAGACTTAGCCGCCCTTGGGCTACACGAGCCCAGAGCCGGATCCGCGCCAGGAAATCTCCCCACGCAGCCCCGCGGGGACAGCTGGCTTGCGGCGAGGGCGGGCGGAAGTGACGCAGGCCGGCGGAAGTAGCCGCGGCGGGGCTGGGCGAAGTGCTGGCGAGGGCGGCGCGGGTTCCGGCGCAGGTGAGTGGCAGGGCCTCCCCGTCCCGCGGGGTCCCCTGGGCCGTGCTGAGCCTCGCCTCGCTCGGTGCAGCCCGCGGGGCCCCAGCGCTTTGCCTTTACCACGGCCAGCGGCCGTGCCCCCCGTGCATAGAGATGCTGCGGGGCCTGTTCTGCTGGGTCTCTTCTCCCTCTTTCCCTCCCTCCTCCGGTCAGAGGGGCCTCACCTGGCCGAGTCTCCGTCTGCGGGTTTAAGACTTCGAGTCAGACTGTTTTGGGAAAGCCCGTGAGGGCTATGAAGGCAGTGGGAGCGCCGGGACGCATCTCGTCTTTAGTGTGTTAATAGCAGCTTGTTGCTTTTCGTTTTATTTTGTGCTGTGATGGTGCCTGTTTATTGCAGAGGGTCTTGAGGCAGGCTGGGCACAGCGGCGTTTCTGGAGGCAGGGTGCTGTGTGCATGCACACGGTATGTGCCCGGCAGGTAGTCACAGTCACCGAACCTTATGGGACCAGCCTGAGATGCAGAGCCTCTTTGAGGAGGATTTTTTGCACTATTGACTCTTTGGACTGGGGTGTTCCTTCTGGGACGAGTGTCTTTACAGGTATCTGCCTTCCCCGTAGCAGCTAAAACTTGCTACTTGTGTCGTGAAGTCTGGGTGTTTCAGATTGTTACTCATTACGATACTGTGTGCAGAAAGGGTTTTCGTGACAGAGCAGAGCATGCACATCATCATTTTGCAAAGGAGCCAGTAATCCTCAATGAGGCTTTTGTTGACTGGTAATCTAGAGTGGGGAAATTGTACCCTTTCACTGGCTGCTGAGCTGCCCGGGAGAGACTGAGATGTGGCTCTCTGCTTCTCCTTTTGACTTCTTACCTCAACCAACAAGATCTGAAGAAGGAGGTTTTTTGTGACAGCAGGACCTTGTATTCTTTTTTCAACCAAATCTGATAACTTTATCAAAAGAGTGCAAAGCTGTAGACTTCAGGATCGGTAAAAAACCTTCCTCAGGGGTCAGAATTGACATTATCGGTAGGAGACGATTCTTTGCTTCTACCTATACTTGCTGTCTTTTCTCTTTTGACTGTGTCTAGTTCATAGATGTTGTTGTAATGCAGGTGACTCCCTTGGGTTGTCAGGCTCTGCTGCTGCAGAAGAAAAATGCATTGTAGATGCAGATGGGCTAGAAGAAATTAAAAAGCCTAACAGTATAGATCATATCAAGAAAATACAGTTTTTTGTAACCTGATGGATACGGTAAAAAGCTTGCAAAGGAGTGGATAGGTAGTTTGATCAAATGCTGTGCTTGAATCTTACATGTTTTCCTAGGACAAAATCCTCCCTGGGTTGCACATGCTGGCTGGCTGATGGTTCCTCTTGGCAAACAGATTGTGTATGGTGAGTTTTTAAGTAGTGAGTTGCTAGATGGGAGGTAACCAGAGTGCAGGATGCTGGGGTCAGTGCTGATCGTCAGGAGTTTGTTGTTTCTGCTACGTGTTTTCTGTGAGCTCTGGTGGGTGAGAATTACTCCTTCCGACGGCCAGGGCAGTGTTGCTAATGTGCTTAGAGGGCTTCCAGGGGCCATGGAAAAAGGTACCATTAGAACACAAAGTATTTTTGCTCCATTCTGTCTGTGTGCAAGTCCCATGTGTATTTAGGCCATGACTTTGAGGAAAGGTTTTCTGGAATAACATCCGACCTTGTTAGATATTGGCTGCTTAGTTGGCTTGTTGTGCCTGCCAGTTTCCCAGCAAAAGGAAGGCAGTTCTCAAGGCCTCCTGTATTTTTTTCATTAACTTTTTCTAATAGACAGAGACTTGGAGAAGTTTCTGTACTGTGCTGTGTGGAGGAGGCTTGCTGCAGAAAGATTAGCAGCACACTTTGCTTCTAGCTGGGTGGTTTGTGTCTGTTAATCCTGGCATCCTCCTCTTTTGGGCTTTGAAGCCTGTGATGACAGGGCATGGAACACTTGGTGTTGAGTGTGTGTGGTGCTGCTTGTGCAGGGTCCAAGCAACTGAAATGTGGCTGTGGGAGCCCCGTTGTGGCAGAAAGCTCCATAAATAACCAGCAAGTAGGTGTGTGCTTCTGCTCGGAGTATCCACAGAAAAAAGGAGCTGTCTGCAGAAGTTGCAATTTTTGCAGTGCAGCAAGGGAGGTGGGCTGAAAGGGAGTGTTTCGGCATTCTCAGCATCAGTGAGACCTGCAATGAGATCCCAGGTGTTCTTGTGTGAAGTCCTTCTCTGACAGTAGTAAGGCACTGTAGAAGGGTACTCCCTGCCCTTCCTGCCCTGCAGCAGCTTTTGCAGGTGGCTGTGTTGCATAAATGTCCTTGACCACCCTGTTAGAGAAATTGGGCGTTTTCGCTGTGTGATGGGGAAGGGTTTTATTGTTGAGAGGGTTCAGGGAAGTTCCCCTTGTTGCTGCTTGTGCCATATGTGAGTTTGGTGTACACGGAAGCTGTCGTTGTGGGCCTCTTGAGCTGACAGCTTCCATAAATGTCAGCGTTTTGAGATCTCTGAAATGGAGCAAATAGCTGGTGATGTTGGCATTGGCTGGAATGGTCTGTTTCCTCAGTCATGAAGTACTGAAGTGAATGGAGAGTCCCTGGAAACGTTGCAAGCCCTGCAAATCCAGAGATTTTGTTGAGTCTGAGGTGGTTGGTGGTTTTACACTAATGCCTTGACTAAAAGCACCAACCAAATGTAAAACTTCCTGTCTGCCTTTGTTCTCTTAGAACCAGCAACATCACACCTAACCGACCTTGGTGAAGAGCGAGATCCCTGAGAGGAGTATAACAGTTCCAAGCATAGCTCATAAGTGCTGCAGGAAGTAATTCTTGTTTCTGTCAGCATTTTTCCCACAAGGTAGCTCCCAATGATTGCACTTCGTTTTGGT